CATGAGGACCTTAGAAGCAAAGTTCTACTCTGGAGGAAGAGAGGAGAGGTAAAGCTGGAGAACTGCACGTAGAAGGGATCTGGGAGGAAGAAGAGGAGGCTGGAAAGGGCGAGCGATTTCTCCCAGGCAGCCAAAACACGTTAAAGGGAGTCTGATGTAAATGCGGCCGACTCCTTGACCAGTTATGAAGAAAGGACAAGGTGTCACTGAATTTCTGGTTCCAAGAAGAGGCAACTGGGGCTCTGTAGGTGAGGGGTTCGGTCCACACCAAAGCGTGTAGGAACTGAAGATATAAACATAGGTCTTAGAATAGCATTGAGTTCTCTTCCTTAGACTGTACGGCAAAACGTGTGCTCCCAAACCATCCAGTGTCTTTGCACCTTGGATGTTCAACAAAGCTTTTGCTTTCATTTGAATTGGGAGGATTTAACATAATTTTTTTTGGTGGGGGGAACACGGGGTGGTAGGAAAATGAGAGAAGTGCTGTTGAGGCACAGGACAGGAGGCCATGAAGAATGAATCTGTCACAGCGCCGGCAACTAAAAACGGCAGCCCCAGGCAACTGGAATCCTCTTGAGTGGACCAATATCAAGAGGACTAGAAACTTGGTTTTTGTTTTTAAAAGACAGATGAGAAAAACAAGAGTTCCTCAAGAAAATACGGCTTTCAAGGCGCCTCGTGACGCATCGAAGACTGAACAGCACGAGGAAGGAAGCAACTGAGAGAATAAGGAGCGTATGAATCGTTAAGTGGATGAAGCGGGGGATGTATTATAGGATTCAGGAGCCGAGAATCTAAAATGGGTGGCACAAGAGGTAAACGTGTCCACCCATTTCTGGAATTGCTAGCCCGACACAGAGGTGAGTCTTGTTTCAAAAGAAGCCACCTCATGGTTTTGAAGAAGGGCTGATGTCACCCAAGGCCCAAACTTGACAACCAAGGAGTGTTTTCCTTCCTGGCTTGGCTTCCATCTGGGCCGAGAAACGGATCCCCCCACGCTCCCGAATTTAATGGACATGCAAAAGGGCTTTCTAAATATCCCGGAGATAGGGAAGTTAGCATAAAGGTAGCACGTCGTGGTTTTCCCAGCCCCACATGATGTCTTGGAAAACATATGGCAAACTGAAGTTGCGCTTGATGGCAAATAATTTCGCGCCATAGACGGGGTTGCGTCTTCTTTGAAAAGGAAAATTACTCCCGGCTTCGGGATCAGAGTTGCTCTCTCCCTCTTGAATCATTACCGTATCTAAGCACAACATGATCGATGCCTGGTTTGAATAAAGGAACATTTTCATAGATAATCACATGTAGGTTGATAACCACAAGGGACGTGAGCTTGATCCTTGAAAAAGGGTAAATATGGTTGAAAAAACGGAGATTAACGTGAAACCTGCGTAGGGTGCGTAGGGGTGGAGTGCAGATCCTGGCTTTGAAGATGCTCCAGGTTAGACTTTGGGGAAGCACAAAACTGACCCAGGAGTCAAGAGAGAGAAGTTCGCCCAAAAGGCAGAAGGAAAATGCAGCCTCAGCCGAGATGTCCATGGTGGGATGGAGGGCCTGGGATGTGGGGCTGACCAAAGATGGTTCTGCCACTTCGATGCCCATCTCTTGAAAAAACATGGTGCCCACCTGCAGGAGACCAAGCTGCGGGGTTCACCAAATCCAACTTTCCTGGCGAGGCTCTGTGTGTGTGTGTGTGTGTATGGCTCATGCCGGAGGTCCCGTCGTCCCGAAGCTAAAGCGTTCGTTAAAAACAGTGCAAATATATTTACAGTTTAAGAGCAAGTTTAATACTGGGACATTTTTCGTCTCGTCCGCTCTCCCTGCTTCGGGACGGGATGGGGAGCAGTTACTGCTTGCTGTGTGCCCGCTAGTGCTTGAGAAGGGGGGGGGGAAGACACAGATGTTCACCCACAAAGTTGTGCCTCTCTTTCTGTGTGTATATAGATGTGTGCTGGTTAAGTTGCGGGACTTCCGTTTCCTGACTTCAGAGGAAAAAAAGGCACCATTCCGGGAATTAATTCTCACCACCACGTTCGTTCCAGTTTTTTTTTTCAGAGGGTGGGGGAGATAGAGGGGTGGAGTGTGTGTTTGTGTGTTGTGAGCTGCATAGCCGCCCCCCCCGAGCCTCCCCCTACCTCCCGGGAAACCACCTTTTGCACATTTTAATGTCATACACAAAAAAGGTCACACTACAAAAGGACGTTAACAACTTTTCACAATATTCATGGCTAAGCTGTCTCCCCCCCACCCCTTGCCAGGTTGCTTTCTCTACACAATGTACAATTTCCATTTTTATTTTTATTCCGGATGGGGGGGGGTCTTCTCCTCCCCACCCTCGGGTTGGTAGGTTGGTTTTTGTTTGTTTTTTTTTTGCTTGCTTTTTAATTAATTTTTTTTTTAAACGTGTCAAGAAATAGCTTATATACAACGAAGGAGTCCTTGTTACAATTTTTTTT